CCATATATTGAAAAGACATGTAACTAGTTTGCAAGAAGGATAAGTGAAAGAGAAGGAGAGAACGTGTAATAGCATGAAAGTAATAAAAGTGATGGAGCAGATGGAAGAGGAGGAGACTAACATATGAGACGGGCAATAATTCTATGTAAAATATCTTTCTTTTTTTTTAGAATATCCTTCTTTTTCCGTTTGCCATCAGTTTACTGAAGAGTTTTCAGAATGCAGCAGCCGAATGACAATGCGTTTTCCGGGCATCGTTAATCCAGTGCGGTCAAAAGGCCTTGCAGACCCCGGCGCGGACAAAACAACATTAGGCATATTCACGCGTTTCAGTGCGAATAAGCGCAGAACCCTCTCAACAAAAGCATCTGGGTAAATTTTCTTACAGTTTTATTAAAATAATTTTACTACTTTTACTATTTTCTTAATATTATTTTCTCTTCTGTTCTTCTTCCTACTTCAAAATACCTTTCGATTTCTTCTATAAGTGTTAGGAGCTACAAAAATAGCCTACGTTCCATGCAACGGACGTTTGCTGCTAGGGATTTTCACTGCTTTGCACTTTGATCTGTACGAAAATATATGGTTCCTAAGTTGCGGAATCTCCCATCAAAAATTTCACGCACCAGTATATGAAAACAGAATTTGAAACCTCGGTGGGTTAAGGAAATCTGAATTTGCTTAAGCAGGAAACATTGTCCTGAAACTTTCAGCCTCCTAGCTCTTAAGATAATGATTTTTCCCGCCAAAACTTTCACGAGAGCGTTGAGAATTTTCTAGTCGTACAAGGGCAGGGGACGCTACGCTAAAGTCACTCCTACTTCTTTCATGGTATTGCTTTTCCTCTCCTCACTCTCTCTGTTTCCCTTTCACTTACCTTCTAGCAAATTAGTCACATGTCCTTTCAATACATGGCGGGTAGGAGGCTGTACTGACGATTCCCTCTCCTCCCCGCATGCATAGTCCGGTCAGTGTTTACAGCTAAGGGATGAAATACACGCTGCGCCGAAAAATATCACCCTACTACATTTAAAGGATAAAAGCAGTTTGCACCATAAAATATCACCTTACACATGATGCCTGCGTACAATCCTGTTGGTCTATTATTTCAGCTTCTTAGCTTTCGTGGTTCCCGAGTTGAAAGTTGCGGACAAGATGCATCGGACGCATATACACATACAGACAATTGATAATATGCATTTTGTACAGCTGTTGCTCAGCACAAAACGCAAAATAAATTAATTTTGATGCACGCCATAAGTCGAAGCACCCATCAGTTTGTTTGCAGGAATTTGGTGGAAGGGGAACAAATCGGGCTGTTGTTAGAGGATGGTTCTTTTTGGCATAGTTTTACAGTCTGAGCCATTACTAGTGCTGCGGTTCATCATAGCAAGTAAGGGAAGTTCTCATCTGACTCAATCGCACTAGGTTGTTGAGGAATCATCTGTTCTTAAAATTTAGTTTTTTATGCGTTTTGTGCTGTATAACAGCAGTACAAAACGTATGTTGTCACGGGATTGTCTGTGTGTGTTTGTGTGTGTGTGTCCGCAGCAACTTGTCCGCGACTTTCAACTCGGGAACCCGAAAAGCTAGGAAGCTGAAAATTTAGGGGAGCGTTCCATACCCACATGTGACCCCGCAAATTTAAATTCGGCTTCTCCGTACCGGCGGGTAACACGTACAGCCCCGTGAAAGTTTTTTACGGGTAAATTAATATCTCGGGAACCACGGAGGAGGATGAAATTTTAGGGCAATGATCCCCTGCCCACGCTCGACCTTGCCTATTCAAATTTAGCGTTCCCGCGTTCTTGAGTATCAATTACGGCCTCGTGGAAATTTTGGCGGGTGAACTATTAACTCGGAATAAATATATTCACCTTTCAAGGTTTCGAATTCAGCTTTCCTGCGTTGTTGCGTGAAATTTTTAACTGTTTTCCATTGTTTGAACTGTTTTTGCAGACTAAAGTAGACTAAAGTACTGAAGTATAGAGAAAAGTACAAAGCAGTGAAAATCATTAATAGGCAATCGTTCGATGGGCTGAATTGCACAAAACGCATGATGGCGCACCCCGGCTAGTGTGGTGCGCGTTGCTATTTATTATACATTCACTCCCTCCCTTTAGTTCCCTTCTTATTTTTTTTTCTTCGATAAACTGGTCCGTTATTGAACGAGTTTATTATATTTTCCTTTTCAGGCATTCAGTACACTGGGAAAATTATCGTTTTCCATGTTCAATATGTGGCGGCAAAATGTTATGTATATGTCAGAGTTGCCTGATGTATAAATGTTAGTGTGTTTTTTCATTGATTTAAGCAAAGTAACAGGAAATACGTGGATCAGCTCCAGTTCATGGCCTGGTTATCCATCTGTGCAGCTGACAACTTTTCCAATTGCTTCAACCAATTCTTTGCATCGCTCAGTTGCCAACTTGCTAGAAATCCCTATGTTCTGTTTATGTACTGTCCATCAGCAGTGCTTTGACAGAAAATCCAAAAAAAAAAAATCCTAAAATCCATAATCTTTGACAGTATTTCTAGAAAATCTTCAGTGGTTTGTAA